ACTTCTCCACCCGGACCACATCCGTTTGGAACTCATTGCCTGAGGAAGTGGTCTCTGAGCCTACGACAGCCTGCTTCAAGCACAGACTAGATAAATTTGCCCTGGGCGTCACCTTGGCAGTGGACAGCAACCTAGAGTAACCTCGAAGTAGTGTCAGGTGGACCCCTGGACTGCCCACACAGAACACCTCCTAAGGCATGCATTTCGGTTCAGCTAACTGACTACAGGTAACTAACCTGAACTGAATGACCTTGACTGCTCGGGTCACATTTTTGACGTGGTAAATTTTAGTCCAAACAAACTACTGTGAGTGGAAGCTGCTGAAACCGCTACAAATCCTGCAAAAGTCCGCAAACCCGCTTAGCGAAGATATTCGGTAAGTCCTCGGGTGGTAAATTTTGAAATCAGTGATTTCATTGCGTAAGACGTTTTGCATAGATAAAAGAACTGTACACTGCTAGCTTCCGTCATGGCCAAATCAGGTTGTTGTGGAGCTCTTAGGTGTCAGAAAATGGTCTCTAACGGGATTCAGTGTGATTGCTGTGGTTACTGGTACCACCAAGGGTGTGTCCTCATAGAACGTAATGCCTACGAAGCTTACGTGGGAAACGACGCCTTACAGTGGCTCTGCTACATATGCTTAGCACTGACGGGGGGGCAGGTCGATAACCCAATCTAAAGGCAGGCAGCACCGGGGGGGAATCCAGAACTCACAGGATTCGCAGTTAGATCTGATAAAAATTGTAAAAGAGCTAGAAGGGAAAGTTACCAGAAGGAGCTGTCGCTTATCAAGAAAGAGAACGAAATTGCCATGAGCAGGAACAGGAACATCCTCATTTATAACAATGAGCAGCCGGTAATTCGGAATGCTAAGGCCCGGGCAGACATAGAACATAGGAACGTCCGGGACCTCCTGAGACTCGCTGGGTTACCCCCACGTGCACTCAATAAGAGGGTGCAGAGGGTCGGCCGCTGGATCGACCCTGTAGGCAGTCTGCAACAGAGAAAATCTAGGCCCATCCTAGTGGAATTCGGAAATCCCGCGGTCCGGGACCGATTGCTTAGTAACTGTGAAAAAATTCAGCAGTCACTGGGGAGAGGTATCAGATCACACCTGATACCCGAAAGCAGGGTACATGGCATACCCCAGAGCAGGGTCACGCACCCGCGACTGTGAAGAGCAAGGCGACCGGAAAGGCCATCATCA